TATATTTTTTTCCCCTGGACCCCCCCCCCCCCCCCCCCATTTACATTAATTCTTATGGGAACTAGATTCGCTTAACATCGTTTTGCTTAAAGTCACATTTTTCAGGAACATAACTACAACATTAAGTGAGGAGTTACTGTACAAGTTTTGTTTGTCTCTTTTCCCTATACGCCTGTATTTAAAATGAAAAAATGAATTGAATGTAAAAGGCAATTAATTATTTGCTGCCTTTCAGGTTGCTCTAGTACATCTAGGAATGGAAGATTCTAGAATATAAATAAAATTACCAACTTCTGAATTTTCAGTCATTTGCAATAGATAAGTTTGTATTTTCCCCTCAGGCATACATGAAAAATAAAACTAGATTTATCCTATAGAACATCCAGTTTCAGGAGCCCAGAAACTGTTGCTGTGAGATGTTCTTTTCATAAGCAACATAGAAAATAAGAAGTGTCCAATAACTAACCAATTTTCTTGTGTAATCACAAATGAAACATTTATATCAGACTGTTTAAATATCAACATTTCAGTACAGTCAGTAATTTCCATTTCTAACATGATGTATGAAAACAATTTTCTGGGCCAACAATGGTGTACTGTAGGTTATGTTTTTATGGTTTCCTGGTGGTTATAAATCCTGAATTTCAAAGATTTGGCAAAGTGCCATCAGAATATATTATCACTGAATAGTCTAAAGGGAGTTGTAGAACAAAGGAAAAAGATGTCAGAGTTTATTTTTAAAGCTTTTCTTCACATATTTAGTTCCTGTTTTGTTCTGAAAAGTTTTTTACTTTAAGTAAGTCTTGACATTCAGAAAAAGCCACTCTGATAGAGTTAATCAATTGTCCTGAACACTGAAAGGTATTTTAAAACAAAGAGGTTGAAACAATGAGGAACTTTCGGTCATAAGCTTGTTAACATCTACTGTAGGGATGACAAGTTTACAGAATATATAAATGACTCCCAATGTATTTGACTTCCTCCTTAGTCCTCAAGAGTGGTGCAGCTTGTTTGTCCCACCATTGTGACCTCCTGAGGATCAATGGGCTCCTGGTTCTTTATGCTCCAAGTATTAAATTGCCCAGTTGGGGCAATTTTATAGGGACAGTCCCGATTTTTGGGTCTTTTTCTTATGTAGGCTCCTATTACCCCCCACCCCCGTCCCGATTTTTCACATTTGCTGTCTGGTCACCCTAGCTCCAAGCCCCAGCAAATGCACAGATTTTAGCCCCTAACTTGCTAGATAACCTGTATACAGGTTAAGATGCAAGTGGTGGTGGTGGTAGTAGTAGGGTAAATATATGAATGTGTAGCCTCTGACCTCTAGAGTGGTAATTATGATGCATCTGAGAAATACCAAATGACGAAGGACTAAACAGCAGTAAGAAGAAACTAACATTTTATTAAGGGAAAGGATAGAGTGAAATTAGAAGTGGTATGGGTGGGAACAAGAAATGAAAGGGAAAAGTATGGAAATCGAGCACAAGGCTGAGTGTATTGGAGCTTGGTAGGAAAGTGGGATATCTCTCATTGTGAAATGGAGAGGTCACTCTTTGGGGTCCCCTAGTACAAGGGAAGCCACATGGCTGGCAGTTGGTTCTTTCCTGGCCAGTGGAGCCACATATATCATCTTTGTGGCTGAGAGCAACTGAGCAATTCAGTTCTTTCTCTCAACCACTGCTTGTTCAGGTGCAGTGTGCATGTTTGGGTAGCCCCAGCCATACTCAGGCTATCTTGGGCCTGTAGTTGGTCAGGTCCCTGGTTCTGTAGGTCTTTCTCCTCTCAGGCTGTTTTGGTCTCAGGAACGTGGGTTAAGCCAACCTTTGGGGATTTGGGGGGGGGAGGGGGAGTCCCTCATTTTGGAGCATTCTCAGAGGATCCTGCTCAAAGTTGTTAAGCAACCATTCTACTTTGTCATTTCTTCCTGCTGCTGCTTGTGTTGTGTCTGTGGGACAGCTCCTGCTTACAGGCTGCTAAAATAATAGGGGAGCCTCTATAAACTTTTTATTAAATCAATAGATGTTGCCATAAAATGAATCCAACTGAAACACCATTTTTAACACACACAGACAGACAGAAAGAAAAGAGAGCAAGAGCCCCTACAGCATATACAATTAAGTGCTATATTGTAACAGTGCAAAAGAACCTGTAAACTTTGAATATGTCATCAGACTTGGCGTACATATTCTCTTGCAGCACTGAATTTAACAAATGGTTGGGGAGGAATGAAGAAAGAAGTTCTCGGGCTACATTTGAGAGAATGGGTTAAGAATGTGCTGTCATTACCTCAGTCCCTCGACACAGACTTCCCATGAACAGAATCTTCTGCTTCCTGTAGCAGGGGCCTGATACAACTTTCATTGACATCAACAGGACTTTTTCTATTGAGTTCAGTACCAGTTGGGGCAGGCCATAGCCGAAGAATCTGGAAAAGATGTTGGGCTTCTAAACTTTTGCACTTACCTACCCTAGGGTTACCATATCTAACAAATAAAAAAAAGAGGACCCTCCACGGGTCCTGGCCCCGCCCATTTCCCCACCCTGCCCAACTCCGCCCCTTCCCTGCCCTAACTCCGCTCCCTCCCACTCCCAGCCATG